GAGTCTGTGAGTTACTGCTGGTATTTTCTCAGCTGGCAGCTCCACTAACCAATGGCCTGTTCTTACAGCAAGGCTGCCTAGCCTAAGAAGTTGTCATCCATGGTTACAGAGCAACAGTCCCCAACCTTCTGGGCACCAGGAAGACAATTTTTCCATGGATTGGGGAGGTGGTGGATGGTTTTGAGATGATGGAAGTGCATTACATTTATTGTGCAGTTTACTTCCATTATTATTGCATTGTAATAGATAGTGAAATAATTATACAACCCACCACAGGCTGGGAACCCCTGTTACAGGGGATGCACCGAGGCTAGGCTCGTTACCTTTGAGAGATGAAACACAGATGAAATGATCGTTGTAATCACTGTGTTAAGAAACGCAGTAATGTAGGGTCCAGCCCTAAAGCGAATGTGGTATTTTCAGACTGTAATTGTCTCACACACGTGAGATAAACGAAATTTCCAGAGCATGACAGAAGAGGTAATTTACTAAATAATAACCTGGCTGCTCTGGAAGCATGAGCTTCTTAAAGAACAGTGCCACTTATTGTTGTTGGTTTTAACGTAGTTGATGAAAAATAAAGGTCATAGTAATGTATGGATACAGTAAACCATCAAATATTTTCTCAGTGAGTTTATGATTTTGTTGTACTTATAAACATATAGACAGTTGAAAACACACAGGTATATTACTTATCCAGAAGTCTTCTCCAACTATTCATAACACAGCAAATACGAGGACTAAGGCTTTTAAATGCCCTGAGAAGCTAAAATAGATGCCATAAATCCATATCCTGAAGCTTTTTTTTTTAACCCAAAAAGGAAATTGACCAAGAGAAGGTAACTCCAAATTCAGCATCTGCTCATACCATTTCAAAAATACATCTTTAGATGTGCTAGATCTTATTTGCTTTTACTTTAACAACCTTGGTTACATAATTTCTCAGCCCAGTGCAGGTTAGAATCAACAAATTAGACAGAGCATGGTGACAGCCTGACAGATTCATGGCATATTTTCAGAAGCAAAAAATGACAAATGAAAGCGCACATTGATGGTAAAGTAGGAAAAACAAGCAGAAGGGCTTAAATAAGCTTAGTCTAGGGTCATTTAATGTGAAGGAAATGGTTCTACAGGGCCCACTGTTCTGCAGGTAAAAATGAAATAGTTTATTATAATCATATTGAATCCTTATTCAAAAGTCATATAATGCTTACAAATACTTTTCCTTTCATTCATTTCTTCATTCAACTGACATTCTTATAACTTATAACTTATTCTTATTCTTATAACTTATACACTTGATTACATGCAAATAGAAAGGTCTGGGAGCATGGTGGGTATTTAGGAAATCAAATGAGGAGCCAGTTCTATCTTTTGGTATGTCCGCTGCATCCTTAATACCACTACAAATGGTCATATGTCACACACATTAAATCTTCCATCCTAAAGACATCCCCATAAATCTTACCCCATCCCTGTCCTCAGAAACTCTCTACAATTATTTTTTGTTTTTGTTTTTGTTGCCTGACCTATTTGGGCACTTAATCATAGGCAGCATTCTACTGTCATTTGGTCACTTAGATGTTTCACTTTTGCACTGTCTTCTCAATTAGAAATTTTGAACTAAGGATTGGAACTGTTCCTCCTAAAACTGACCCTTCTATCTTTCATATCGATTAGCATGTAGCTAAAGTACAAAGCAGTGATTCAACAAATATGTTCATTGAATTTAATATGAAGATTAACTATTACCAATGTAGTAAGTGAAACTGCATAATTTTTCAAGGCAAAACTGTTTTCCAATAGATAAGATTATGCTCAGTTCCTTAAAATAACACAGTAGGAGGCTTGTCTTCATAGCAGCAGATTGCAAACTCATCCTGTTTACATTTTAAGCCAATCTGATGATGATTTATTTATCATTTATTGCTACTGATTATGACTTAGAAGATTAGGGAGTGGTTTTTAAAGCCCAGCAGAAGCAAATGCCAGGAGCTTTTTGTCTCCTATCTTTGTGAAATTGAACTGTATGTATATGGTTAATGGAGGTCTGATAATAAGTCTAATTGTTGGAGATCTTTATATAAGTGCAAAGGAAAGATTTGTGCTCCTAGTTAAACAATCATCCTCTGCGTCACACAACTATTCACAAACTGACTGCAGATTTAGATTGTGACTAATATTTGGCTCTGATATTATAGGTGGTTACCGTGGAGAGAATCAGTAAGAGCATAATTCATTTCCTCGGAAAAATTTAATCCACAGATGGATCCCAACACTGAACTGAATTGGTGTCCAAAACTAATGGGGATTTTTGCTAAATAAGGCCTGACTCAGCCAAAAAAGATAGACTCTGAATAGAGAAATCTGTATCATGCGTAGCTCCAAAAAGTATATTTACCCAAGCACTGAAAGCACTGGCACACTAGAATTTTCCTAATAGGGACACGGTGAAAAGACATTTATTAATTAAAATACACACTGATATTTTCTCTTTTTAAAATGAAGCAACGGAATTATTCAACCCTACCATGCATTTACAAAGTTTCAGTTACAAAATTTAATCTTTAATATTTCCTTATTTAGCTAAAATAATTAAGGTAGAGATTCTATTCAGATTGAGAAGCTGCTTATTAAAATCACTAACTTTTCTCAAACTGTCTCCTTCAAGAAATAAGCCTTGGTGCACATCTTTCAGTCCCCGGGAGGAGGGGTGGTGGTGAAAGTGATGTTGATAGTTGATGAGAGATACTGGGATACATTTATGATGTACCCCCTATCCCTGTAGCTAAGTTTATACAGCTAACCATAATGTTATCACTTTGCATTCGTTTCTTTAAAGATCTTCCTATCGTATGAAACTATCTTGGCCTGTAGTGTATTCATTTTATTTAGAGTAGAATATTAAAGCAAAACAATTGTCATCCAAGTTCCAGAAAAAATAGCATCCCTTTCTGGATTACTGAATTTCAAATAGAGCTCATTTCCTGGGGGTAAAAAATGTGTTGCCTCTCTGAATTCACATGATTTGGAAAATTGTTAGCCATCTACAGATGCACCAATTGAATCATAATAAAGAAGAGAAACTATATAAGTGATTAATTTCCTTTTTCCATTTAGGCTTAGTATGTTTTAAGGGATTAATTAGATCTGTGACTTGTTTCTTTAGATACATACAGGAGGAAGCACATTTCAGAAGAAGCTTATTGAAGTGGAGTGAGCTGTTAACTCATTCTCTATCCTTTGGCTAACATACAGTTAATTTGTCTATCTCCAGCTTCTTTTAGCTCTGGCCTACAGCCTGAGTTCTTACACATACATCCATTTTACAGAGTTAATTCAAGCTGTTTATAAGTAATGCATGACTTAATAAATGTTCAAGTAGACATCCCCTTGAGTGAGGCATTATTCCCACATAAATGACAGCAGAGTCGGTAACAAGGCTTGGTGTACTGTATAATCTCAGCAAATGAAACGGAACAGCAACACCATTTGGCTAGCAGAACAGTCGCACCGCGTGCACGACCTATTCCACACCCTTTTAATTTAAATGTCTCTCGCTCAGTGCTAAGAAAAGAGGCACACTGGGTAACTCAGGATTAAGTACATATCTGCAAAATCTAAGCAAGCATATTTCACCAGCACCTCCTAGGGGCCACGTGAGGATATGAAGACAGGAGGTGGGTACCCGCGCAGAACCTTTGCTTGAATTGTCAGTTTCACGTCTCCTACACATAAAAATCCACCCCGGCAGTGCCGTTCAGAATATTATCTAGTTTGTTGAAGTAGTTTGGCGACTCAGGGAGGCCTTTAGAGGTTTAAACAAACTGCACGAAAGACGCATTTGATCGCTTAAGGAAATAAACATTAAATAAATTTTTAAAAAGTGGAAGGAAAACACTCCTAAATATATTGTGTCCTTTAGGAGCAAACCCTCGTTATGACACCAAAGTATTCAGAGATAATATGCAATCACTCTTAGATTTACACACACACACACACACACACACACACACATACAGATTAATTTATGAAGTTCCAGGATCCGGACCCGGTTAACACTGAGGCTGATTGTTAAGGGTCTACATGCTCTTGCCTGGTTGTTGGAAAGAAGGGCTGGGAGGCGCTGAAGCGAGGGCAGATCTGAGTGACTGTAGGAGTTGCTGTTCCAGAAAATTCATTACTCTCTAATTGTTCTGATTTTAGATCAGCAGAGCGTGCCAAGCGGTGGTGGAGAAAGAGATTGAGGGCGGACAAGGCGAGAGGGAACGAGTCGTTCACCCTTCAGAGAAGTCTAGGCGCTTCGTAAGTAATTCGCGACCAGCCGGGAGAAGGAACAGCCAGGCGGTCATGCAGTGGTCACACTCGTGCGCGCCCGAATCCCGGGGGTTTGTGCGCGCCCGTCCGGGTCCCTCTCCCCATTTCGTTCGCGGCTCCTCCGCGCTCAGCAGGTTCCCCGGGGGTTTGGGTAGGGGGTTCGAGGGGCTGGGGGCCTGGGAGGGAGGGAGCCGGGGCACAGGGCGACGGGCCCGGGCTGCCGTGCGGTCCTCCTGGCGGCCAACGCCGCGCCCCGCCACTGGCACGCCGCGCCCCGCCACTGGCACGTCGCAGGCCCTTCGAGGAGCACGCACAGCACAGCCGCCACCGCGGAGAGGAACCGGGAAGTGTGGGGCTTGGAGAGGGGTAGGAAGCTTTGCCCAAGGCCAAGCTGCAATTAAGCTGCCGCAAGAGCCCGGCCGCGGAGCTTCCCACCTGCTGCTGTCCCAGCTGGGCCGCCACTTGCTCCTCCCCAGCCCGGGCCCGACTCCCGGAGCAGGCTCGCAGGGCGGAGGGGGAGGAAGCGGCGGCAGGTTCCCCGCGCTGGCGACGCGGCGGGCGGCGGGTGCAGCATCCTCCCCTCCCCGCCCGGGCTCCCGGGGCCGGCCGCGCGCCCAGGCGCGCTGCGATTGGCCGGCGGCGGCCGGGGGCGGGGCCAGGAAGGCCGGTATCGCATGTGGACCGCCTCAAAAGAGCCCAGGATATTGCAGAGCGCACTGGAACCCTGGCCAGCGCGCAGCCTTCCCGGCGCCGGCAAGCTGGGTCTTGGGAATTCTGGCTTGCTTTGGCTCACTCGCTTTTACAAACTACTGGATCTTACATGCCTCTGTAACCCCCACTTCCACTCCATGTCCCCATGCTCCTGCGCCAGCAACAGGTAAGGGCTGCTATGTTTTCTTCCCTTCCTCTCTCTTCGCTGCCTGTGTGTCCTGGGGAGTGGACTGGGGCCGCCGTCCCCTACCCTACCCTGTCCCGCTGCTCCAGAGGTGCCCAGCTGTCACAGTGCTCACCCACGCCCCGGAGTCCCAGATCATGCCTATATAGTTTGTGTGCGCACCAGAACATCCCCAGAGCTAAAAATACTGAGACATGCTTGGAACAGTTGAGCAATAGAAACAGATTTCTCTGCAGCATCTGTTTGTGCTCATAACTTCCAGTGCACCAGCTGTAGCGAGATACTGGGTTTGGAGGCAAGGGCAAGAAAGTCTGTGTTCGATTCTCACTCTAAGGGGAAAAAAGGGTGGTTGGACGTGGGAGAGCGCCTTGAGCCCTGTTCTTAAGCCTTGGCAAACCCTGGGACTTGGGGACTCAGCACTATTCTTGATCCTTGGCGTCCTTGTTTTTTTTTTTTTTTTTGGTCATAGCTTCGAGCTCCAAACAGAGTGAGAGCTCCTCAAAGTTGCTTTCCTGGGGGAAGAGAGTGGGAGCCCCCGAGTGGGATTAGAGCCTGAAGACTGCAAAACTTTCACATCACTCTCCCTTAAGTAATTTGATATGCTTAGTAATAATGGCATTGACACCTAGCTTGAAAACAGTGTGGTTTGGGGGAAGCAAAATGATCAAAACGACTTGATTCTGCAAAACGATTGCATCATAACGTGGATTCATCATGACAGTTGAAAAAAAATAGAGATAGGAAATGGGCAGTTTAATGTCTGTGTCTAAGGAAGGATATTAGTAGGATGGTAACCAGGATAAGGCTGTGAATTCCGGGGATTTTCATGAACTCAGAATTTACCTGTTAGGAAATAAGGTGTTATTTGAAAACCTGTTCTGGGTATGCAAAGAATACATATTGCCTTTTACAATTTGTTTTCCTTTTGGATTAATAATAGTCACTTATTTCCTCTCACTAACCACTGTTGTATGTCTGCTGTACGTTACCTTTACACTTGTTAGGGGTTTCCTGCTCACTTCCAAGTGTTTTCTTTATATTTGCCGTTATCTGGAAAAAACCGTGGTGCTCAGAAGGAGTAAGAGGTGTTACTTAAGGGTAGTGGAAGGGGTAAGAGCTGGGGCCAAGGTCATTTTACTTTGCTTTCTGCCCTTCCCCCTCATATTTTGGTGGTACTTTTTTTGTTTAATGTTATTGGTATCCATAAGGAATATTTGTTCTAAATGCTTGTGAATTTGGCTTTTCTTTCTTTTTTAAAGAACTTAGTCTTTCTACATTCTTTAGATTCTCCAGTTACAGAATCTCTGGTTTGCTATAGAGTCCTTGTATGACTCTTGAGTAGACCGAAAGGTTGACGACTACTTTACCTGAGGAGCTTTTGACTGTTTTAAGTTGTTTTTTAAGTGAAGATTTTGTTTGCCAAACGTGTATACTTTTCAGCATATACAAATGCTGAGCAATGCTACATGCATTGTTGAGTATAAATTATGTTAAAGATAGTGCTCACATAGATAAATGGGTACTTCCTCTCCCCTCCCCAGTTTCCCCTCCCCCTCCCCTCTGTTTACTGAGCTTCTAAGAGGTTGCTTTGCTAGCAGTTGTGCTCACATAGCAACATGTGCCCAGAGCACACTCAGGCTGGTCTATATGGCGTCAGCTGGGGAATAGCTACTCTAAACCCTCATTAGCAGACCTCTCAGCCCAGTACGTCTTCTTTTGCTATCTTTATTTCCTACCCTTAGAAACTTTCATATTCACTGCATACCATGACCAAATTGTGGGGCACATTTGTTCTCATGTATTCTTCATGGTTATATTTTTTTAGTTATTTATAAACCATATTGGAAATATTTCCCATATAGTGAGAGCAAATTAGATCCCCTATTTGTATCACGTGATCTCCTTGACCTTGAATTGATCCATAGCTCGCTCTCCTTTAACATCTACCTAAGATTGAAATGCTGAACTATTTTTTTCCATTGCTTATGCTTAATTTTGGCTCAGCCTATAAATAGTCTTAACATGAACAGCACCACATGTAGCCTCTCAATTTCCCAGAAATGCTTTCTACATCATTGGTTATGGTCTGGGTAAAATGATTATTTGTGTCCATTAAATTTATATCCAGGACCCTAAATATTTTGGTTGAAAGGGGAATTTATACATTATCCATCAAATCAAATATCAATTCTCCAGAGCTCTATCCATCATGAAGTCAAATCACTTAGTGTTCTCATTTATTCTGAATGGATTGTTTCTCAAAACATTTTTTTGAGTATATGCTTGAAATAAAGTCCCATGAAAGTTCTTTTTTTTTAATGAAAGCTTTCCCCAGGTGCTCACGAGTTGATTTCTAGTGAAAGAGGAGCATGCAAGGAAGTTTACTGCTTGGTTAAAGTCACTCCGGCATGTGGGCAGGTTAACAGTCAAGGTAGTCTTTACAGTGAGATATTAAAAGACAGTTACCCCATTAGACTTTGACAGGTTCTAGACTTTTTCCATGTAATCAGCTCCACAAAAGTCTGAATATACACAATGTGTGTGCACACATACACACATATAAATCTGTTTTGGGGCATATCTATTTGAAGTGACAAAAGTTTCCATTTTGCCAAAAAAAAAAATTCTTCTTTTTCTCTTTCCAGGAAGAAATGGTAAAATTTCTAAATGATGCTCCACATGTGGAACAAATTCTGTCATTAGCAATGGAAATAAGACAATAATAGTCACTCAATACAGGCTGTTTTCAAGGTTCTAAATGCGGAAAGCTATTCATAAGAAGCTAGTATTGTGTGATTTGTGGAATTCAAACAAATGTCCTGGGGTCAAGATTTTTGGAAAGTCATAATTCAGTCTTTAGACTTCATATGGTTGTTGTGTTTTAATTTGGAAAGAGTGCAGAAAGAAGTCAGAAGAAATTCGAGACTGTCTATTCATGGCCCCTAATGGTAACTCAGATGGAAGGGTTGTTTTGAATCATGAAAAGGGAATTTCTTGGTGTCAGCTTAAAATATAAGATTCTGAAGTCAGAGCTCAAGGATACAAAGCACTCTTCAAATGGAACTCTTCCTCCTACTCCCCCCTTTCTTTTAAAAGTATAGCTGTATTTAATGTTGTTGCTTTCTCTGTCTGTATAGAAATGATTGTCAATTTCATGTGAGCTAACTAAGCTGAAATAATTGTTTGAAAAAAATGTTTTCCATGTCCAGGCTCTAGAACCCTGAGGAATAGGATTCTTGTTTCTTTTGTCCAAGTGCAAACTTCATAGGGAAGCAGACAAAACATTGAAGCAGGCAGAAGGTTAGGAAGGCACAGTAACTTCTTTTTATAAAGTAATTCAAAGGCACTTTCGAATCGGGCATCATTTAGGTGTCAAAAGCTGCCAAAATGTAACACACATTGCAATTTTCATAGATGACTAATCTCAGGAAAAATGTGTTGGGGCACATTCTTGCATAATAACTTGGATAAAGAGGAAGAAGTCAAAAGACTGTAACAAGGCATTTTCAAAGACAATGCACCTTGCCTCTTTTTAAGGAGGTGCACAAACACAAGATAAAAGGTTTGCTGTATTTGTTTGCAGCCGGCTTGCCTGAAATTGGTTCTGTTAACTGCTTAATCTTAATGGCTTTAGCCGGGAAAGAAAAAGTGGAGTCTTCACTATAAAGGCTTCAAAAAATTTCTGATCCTTTCCATGTGTTGGTCATTCCTCCCTTAAATACAGGAGATGCATTTGTTTGTTTGAAAAGTTGAGAATCATTTTTATCTTTTAGATCTAGGCTATATTAGTTTTGTTAATATGCATTTGGTAAAGAAAACACCTTAGAGTTTGTCTTAGGCTTTTGTTAGTTAAGGGAAAAAATGCTTTCTTTGGAGGGAAGATGGAAAGTTAAAGTGAATAGATAGTTTTTACCTAAGGGAGAATGAGCCAATAGGAGAAAACTGAAAACTACTATTTGTTTATATTAGGTAAAGGTGAGTGCCTTCTTCATAGGAACCTATAGCAAACAGCAGCATTCAAAGTGAAAGTGAGTGGGTTGGCGTTTATGATCTGCCCTTACAAAGTTGTCTCTATTTGGGAATACACAGCATTGGACCCATATGAAATGAATTCCTGCCTTATCTCAATCTGCTGAAGACCTGGTTCTTTGACACGATGGTGGTTACTTCCTAGCCGTCATTACATATGGCAGTCCAATCTCGGGAGAATTTCAGGACTCTCATTGCTAAGCAACAGAATCACTCTCTATTCTATTCCCCAGAGCAAACCTGCTTCATCTTCATGCCAGAATCACTCGCCCTAATAGAGATGTTATCAGGTATTCCTGGCTAGTGACCGCTTAAAATGTGAGAAGTGATGGAACAAACCCAAACAGCATCCAGAAATCGGGGACCATTTCAGATGATTATAAAGGCTGTCTGCTCAGTTATGCCATTTAAACAAAATAGCTTGTGTCTTCTGGTTTCAACCTCATCATCAAGGGCTCTAATATTCTCCCCAAATGCATATGCAACTCAATTCGTATCAATGCTGCATTCATGTGAAAAGTTCTCTAGACATGTCCTAGTTTTAAAAGCTTTGTGACAAACCTTGTAATCAGAAAGTCTTTCTTCTGGTTAGTAACCTGGAATCCTACCAAGTAGGGTAGTCAAAAGAGGAGAATAAGAGAAAGGAGAGGTAAACCTGAAAAATAGAATATTCTAATCAGTGGCAAAAAAAATAAGGGAAAAGGGACCTGAAGTTTTGGTTGAACAACTGTCAGAGACAACTTTTTTATGTTTAATGACTTTATGCTTTTAAAGAAAATTAAAAAGAATTTTTAGAACACAAAAATGAAAACCCTATAATTCAATGTGAATTATATTTATCTATATCTGATTATGTGTTTTTGTCAGGATATGTTGCCTTAGACAGTAGAACTCTTTAAGAATGACTTCTTTTGTAACAAATGCTCTCTCTTTTCTTGCAGGACATGTTCTCTGGATGTCAACTGAGTTACTAAGGTAACTCTGCATGTCAGTAGACAGACCTTGGTAGAACTCCAAGGCTCCTGGAGACACTCATCTCTCCTCATTTTTTTTTTTTTTGTGTGTGTACTCACTGAACATTCAAAACTGTTTCTCCAAAGGGTTTTGCAAAAACTCAGACTGTTTTCCAAAGCAGAAGCACTGGAGTCCCCAGCAGAAGCGATGGGCAGTGTGCGAACCAACCGCTATAGCATTGTCTCTTCAGAAGAAGACGGCATGAAGCTGGCCACCATGGCAGTTGCAAATGGCTTTGGGAATGGGAAGAGTAAAGTCCACACTCGACAGCAGTGTCGGAGCCGCTTTGTGAAGAAGGACGGCCACTGTAACGTTCAGTTCATCAACGTGGGTGAGAAGGGACAACGGTATCTCGCAGACATCTTTACAACGTGTGTGGACATCCGCTGGCGATGGATGCTGGTTATCTTCTGCCTGGCTTTTGTTCTCTCATGGCTGTTTTTTGGCTGTGTGTTTTGGTTGATAGCTCTGCTCCATGGGGATCTGGATGCATCCAGAGAGAGCAAAGCTTGTGTGTCTGAGGTTAACAGCTTCACGGCCGCCTTCCTTTTCTCCATTGAGACCCAGACAACCATAGGCTATGGCTTCAGGTGTGTCACGGATGAATGCCCGATTGCGGTGTTCATGGTGGTGTTCCAGTCAATCGTGGGCTGCATCATAGATGCCTTTATCATCGGTGCAGTCATGGCGAAGATGGCAAAGCCCAAGAAGAGAAACGAGACTCTTGTCTTCAGTCACAACGCTGTCATTGCCATGAGAGATGGCAAGCTATGTTTGATGTGGCGAGTGGGCAATCTTCGAAAAAGCCACTTGGTGGAAGCTCACGTTCGGGCACAGCTCCTCAAATCCAGAATTACTTCTGAAGGGGAGTATATCCCCCTGGATCAAATAGACATCAATGTTGGGTTTGACAGTGGCATTGACCGTATATTCCTGGTGTCCCCAATCACCATAGTCCATGAAATAGATGAGGACAGTCCTTTATATGATTTGAGTAAACAGGACATTGACAATGCAGACTTTGAAATTGTGGTCATACTGGAGGGCATGGTGGAAGCTACGGCCATGACCACGCAGTGCCGTAGCTCTTACCTAGCGAACGAAATCCTTTGGGGCCACCGCTATGAGCCTGTGCTCTTCGAAGAGAAGCACTACTACAAAGTGGACTATTCCAGGTTCCACAAAACTTACGAAGTACCCAACACCCCGCTTTGTAGTGCCAGAGACTTAGCAGAAAAGAAATACATCCTCTCAAATGCTAATTCATTTTGCTATGAAAATGAAGTTGCCCTCACAAGCAAAGAGGAAGATGACAGTGAAAACGGAGTTCCAGAAAGCACTAGTACAGACACTCCCCCTGACATAGACCTTCACAACCAGGCAAGTGTGCCTCTAGAGCCCAGGCCCTTACGGCGAGAGTCGGAGATATGACTGACTGATTCCTTCTCTGGAATGTTCACTTGACAACACAGTCTGTTGATCAGAGGCCCAAAACAGTTCTACAGACGACGGTACTGGTGAAGAGGTGGGGTCAGAGCAAGCGGCCACAAGGAAACTGAGGCAAGCACAACGGTTTCAAAGGAAGACTGTAAGCGCGATGGTTAGAGTAAAGCACTAATCATGCCTCTGCGTGACCCGATGGCACATATATGTTGTAGAATAAGTTATGGATTTTTATGTTTTGTTTTATGTTTTTACAAAACTTGAACTTGCAGGCAAGCCTTGGTTGGGTATTTGACTTATCCAGAATGCTTCTCTTTAGGGAACAAGAATGTTTTTAATGGCATAACAAAGGCAAGACTCTGCCTTAATTTTTGAAAAGCTGCTAACTACATGAACACAAATTGTATTTTTGTTGCAGTGTAGTTTTTTTTTATTATTATTTTGTATAATTTTAAAGTCAGTGTTGAACTTTATTGAAAGTTCATGATGCGCTTCAAAGTGGCAAGTATTTGGCTATTAACTGCCAACGCGAGAGCCTGATTTTTTGAGGCCAGTAATTTGTTTGCTAGAATTGATTTTTTTTCTCTCTCTTTGGTTACATAAGGGCATTATGTAACTCTAGCCAAATGGTAGCCTCTAGGTTGTTGGTTTTTTTGTCCTCCATGACGTTAATGGGTTATCTCAAATTTTAAGTTAGACTACCTAAAATAAATACCAAAGATAATGCATAATTTTGCACAGTGAAGCTTATACTAAAAAGGAAACAAAGCCCCATGGGCTTCCTTGAAATCAAGAGACAATAACTTTGAACCTCAGCAAGACCTTGAACCACCGGTTCTTTTTGCACCTTATTCAGAAAATACAGCATCATACACACAGAGTCTAGTAAGTGTAGTGCTTTTTAAATTTTGTTCTTTCATGTGACGTTCTTAATTGAAGAGGAAGAGAAAGAAGAAGAAGAAAGGAGAAGTAAAATTCACAAACACACATAGTATCAATGTCTTTTCTTTCCTGCAAGGTAGTGCTGGCCAGTGAGAGATAGTGATGTGCTCTTTGAGTATTCTGGGCTTTCCCTTTTTGCACATTCCAAATTTTATTCCGTAAGATAAGATCTTCATTGAATCTTGTTAGTATCCTGGCATCCTCAGAACTGAGCCATCCAGCGTGAAAGATAAATAGGTTTAAACCATGGCTGCTGAATGCATTGACTTGTCTATCAGGACATTTCCAGCTCAGCTTCACCTTAGAAAAGATGCCACGCCTGGCCTCCAGGTTTGTTCTTCTCATCAGTCTGGAGCAAGTGCTACAGTGTCAGAGAGGGTGGCAGATGCTAAAGTCGGGTGGCAAAGAGGTGTGGACAAGCCACTTTGATAAAGCACTTCAGATAAAGTATTCAGGAGGGAGAGGAAAGTTGCCTTTTTCATGGCAGAGGGTAGGAGTGAAAGTGCCTAAGTATTTCAGGGTCAAAGAGAGCCATCAGAATTACCATAATCACAAATAAAGGAGATAATGGTCTAAAAGGGTTATTTTCCATTTTTGTGTGCATACTCTTGATTAAATGTGAGCTGATCATTGTCTTCTGTGGAGCCCTAGAGCAGGTTACTAAGGAGGGACACGTCGTTTTCCAGAAGCCTCTCCTGCCTGGCTGTCTGCCTTGCTAGAATTTTTTTTCCCCCTGCTCTAGCTCAACAATGTAGCTCTTTTTTGGTTTAAACTTCCCTATTTGTGAATTCTGGGGTTACTGACTTTTTAATTGGAGTCTCAAAATCAACTCTTTTATGGTATTATATCCCTGTATGCCATTAAAAAACAACTTGTTCTAGAATCATGTATTTTGTAATCTGACGTTTGTGATGGTCTCTGGTTCTTGAACAGCCATATCCGAATGCAGTGCCTGCAAAAATATGACAGTTTCTGCTAATTTCAGCCTTCAAATTTGATGAGTTTGCAAGCCGTGGTGGTGTTTTCATTGAAACCAAGAAAGAGGTGTTAAGCAAGGGGATGTTATTTTAAATCCAAATTTAAAGGCAGGTTTGGGAAGTTGTTTAAAGAGTTAAAGGAATTGGGGATTGAGTGGACAAGAGAACGTTTAGAAGAGGCAACAATTTGGTCCTGACAGTGAGAGGACATTGAGGGCTTCAGCTGCTGCTATTATGATGTTTTGCAAAGGAAAATAATCAAACCAAAGAGTATTCAGTGATACGTAAACTAAATGAAGATGCAGTGGAGAATGGGGTGACCACAAAAGAGGCTCCCCCCAAACACGCAGTGCTACCACTTAAAAAGACTTGAGACGTATGAAAGGGGGAGGGTATGGGGGCAAGAAAGAAGGAGAGAAATCTTTCAACTTATTTCTGAAAAAGAAAAAAAATCTAAAATTTCTGGTGCACAGGTTTGTTTGTTTGTTTTTTCCAAGAAAATTTTGCAGAAGCTATGTTTTTAAAGTGTACATTTTATAAAGTTTATCAGATATTTTCATATTTAAAGCCAAATGTAAATAGAAATCTGTAAAGGAAAAAAAATTGCCATAGAAAGTATACTTTCAGTGCAGTGATTTCTGAAAGCTAGTACCTATATGCTACCGGTTAGCATGGTTTTAGCAAATATTTACCAGCCTTATAAGGTTCGTATTGCTATGTTCTTCTGTTATTTATTTCAGCATGGACTGTTCATTGAAAGCTTTTTCTAGTTATTAGCATTTTAACAGTTACAAGCTTTAAATGGCAATTTTTTTTTTTTTTTGTCAAGAGCCAAGACACAGGTAATGCACGACACTTACTGCTGCATTTTACCTTCAAAATATTTGTTCTCATTGACTGGGTCTCCTTAACTAGTGTACACATGTCATTAGAATGCAGATGGAAGGGACTCACCATGAATATCTGGGGGCAGTTCCCAGATGCATGTTGCTTCTCTATTGCAAGCAAATCCCTGTTTAATTTACTTAGAATTTATTCCCTTTTACAGAATTTTTGCCCATATCTGGATGGGCACTATATTTTTGGGGGGAGCCGTAGATTCCTGGTTATCCTATTTTTAAATAAAATGTAGACAAAGTGAATTCTATTTTGAATATTGAGAAAGGAATAGTTTTCTATCCCTCTAAGAGTATACTTGAATCAGACATTTTAAGGATGTCACTATAGCACTGTTGTCATTTCCAAATTCCTAGAGAAAGTTTGTTTTACTTTGTTTTTATTCTTTTAATGCGTTCTTTCTTCCCTTCACTTCCTTTCTTCCCTATATACCCCTATCCCAAATCTTGATGTTTATTTGATAAGCTCTGTCCCTCAAATCATGTTCCCCTTGCAAATAATAAATGTCAGTTTGTATTTTATAATAAGCCACTCAGTAATGGCAAAAAGCTTGTCCTGAGAAGTAGAGTGAGTTCTTTTTCACTCTGTGTCTAATAATGTTAAGGTGAAAAAAAAAAAAAGTGTTGCATAAACACCTCCCCATCCTCAACCCTCAGCAAACTAGAATCTCTTTTCTAGTAATGTTGGGTTTTAGCTCTGGGCTCTGGCGAGTTGAACAATCCTGGCCTTTGAGAATCGTGATAGTTATTATTTTCCCATTTGCCGTCTTTTTGTATCTAAAGTCTTCCTGTTGTACTGCACAAACCATGGATTGTACATATTTTTATATATTATGTCTTATTTTATTATTTCTAAATAAAAATCTAAAAATTGAAAACAAGTTGGTGCCAGAATCTTTGGGCTTTCTGTATGATTACTATAGAAACACTGAGATATAAAGCAAATGTTCCCAAACAATGGAACATAAACCCAGAGAGGTTGGATGAATAGAGCCATAGAAATTGCCTAAACAGACAGGTGCAGTGGGTGGCAGATTAGTTTAATCCAAGTTAGAGGAAGTCAAGCTCATATTTTGTTTTTGGAAAGAATGGCCTAAGTAAAGAAAGGATAGAAAAGACCAAAAATGAGCAAAGAAAACTAACAAAAATATAATGAAGTTTAGAATTTTATTTTGTTTAATGATAATAATATGCAGTTAATCTTTATCGAGTATCAACTATGTTTTGGGTTCTTGCCTTACATATTATTTTATCTCATTCTCAAAAATCCAAATCAGGATATTATTATTCTAGTTTTATAGATCAGAACTTGACAAACAGGTTCCATAAAGGGCCAGATAGTAAATATTTCTGGCTTTATGGACGAGAGGGTTTTTGTCTCAAGTAAGCAATTCCACTCTTATAACACAAAAGCAGGCACAGACAATGTGAAATCAAATGGTATAGCTGTGTTTCAATAAAATTTTATTTACAACTACAGGCAGTGGGCCAGATTTGGCTAGTGGCTTGTAGTTTGTTGACTCCTGTAATAGATGAAAAAACTGAGTTTAAATTTTAAAGGAATCAGTGAAGTGGCATTTGAACTCAGATTTTATGTGCCTCCAAATCTTGTTTAATTGGATAAGCTATATATATTGTTTCAGGACACAAAATTATCAAGGATATATGGTCTCAAAGAAAATGCCACTCTCTCTAGCAAATTTGGAATTATTTAACTGCTTTTGAAGGTTAGAAATACTGAGAAAATTTGCATTCTGAAGTATAGATTGCTCCTTAATATTTTTTCTTTAGCAAATACTCATGGCATTTACTATGTTTCAAAAACAGTTCTGAGTTCTTAATAAATATTAAATAATTTTATCTTAACAGCAACCCTATGGAATTGGCTCTATTGTTCTCATCATTTAAGAAACGTGGAAACTAAGGCCCAGAGAAGTTAAGCTCCTTGTCCAAGTATACACAGCTATTAGGTATGAGTGCTGAGATTTAAACTGAGGCTGTTCAACACTAGGCTGTGCTTTGTGTCACTACTCTTTGATACTTTCCTTTTGGAGGTATGCTTGGTAACACCTTTACCATTTAATCTAAAACCTTTCTGCTTTTCAGTTTTTATCCTTCTCAGTGATGAAAATACATCCTTTTTATCCGCACAGGATAATTAGCACAGGATTCTTGCCTCATTCATAACATGTTCCTCAATTTCTCATGTACTGTTTGGAAGGAGGGAACAACTCACAAGGGATAGAATAATTACAAACATTGGTTGTGGGATTTGGGTACATTTCAAACTTCAGATTAATTTCAATTAACTAGGAATTGTTTAGGCCTGTCTCCAGGCAAAACCACAAAGCTCTATTACTAACCAAACTGCAAACATCCTACCACAACCAATCTCTGCACTCTGCCCAGGGTAGGCATCCAAAGGTGTAACATGATCCTCTTGGTGATCGGGACAGTTAAACAAGATGTGTAATGGTAATGCCAGGCAGTGTGTCCAATGCTATACAGGCCTCATCTGTATTTTGTTGTTGTTGTTGTTGTTGTTAATTATATAACAAAAAGAAATTATAAACGAAAAGAAAAGGCAGGGGTAGAGTTTCAGAGTCCTTCTACTTGTATACTTTTTTGAGTGACTGCTAAGTAAGACCTCCAAGCTGTAGCCTTCTTAAGCATCAACTCCCCAGGTAATACCTGCACAGAAGTAAATGAATTTCTTTCTAGAAATGTCCACTTTCGAGCTGGCAAAATTGATTAAATCAATTAGATTTGTTTTCTCCAATTTGAGTAAATGAATAAATAAGCAAATAAATAGATAAAGGAAGGCCTGCTAGCTCCATGAAATTGAAGTGAAATAAAGAACCAAGTCCATGATTTGTTTATTTCAAGACTTCAGAGCCTTTTTTTCTTTTTTTGCAAAATATTTCAGATCAAGGACCCTAGTGGCTCAGTGCTTAGAGTCGCTATATGAAGGTTGTTATGAAGACTTAAAAACAGTATCTAAGCCGGGCGCGGTGGCTCACGCCTGTAATCCTAGCACTCTGGGAGGCTGAGGCGGGCGGATTGCTCGAGGTCAGGAGTTCGAAACCAGCCTGAGCAAGAGTGAGACCCTGTCTCTACTATAAATAGAAAGAAATTAATTGGCCAACTAATATATATATATAAAATTAGCTGGGCATGGTGGCGCATGCCTGTAGTCCCAGCTACTCGGGAGGCTGAGGCAGGAGGATTGCCTGAGCCCAGGAGATTGAGGTTGCTGTGAGCTAGGCTGACGCCACGGCACTCACTCTAGCCTGGTCAACAAGCGAGACTCTGTCTCAAAAAAAAAACAAAAAAAACAGTATCTAATTACAAGGTAGTACCTGCAAGGCACAGGTGGAATAAAACTATAGGAGTACCTGGCGCTGGAATAGGGTGTCCAACAGTCCTGATTTGCCTGGGACTGAGGGGTTTTCCAGGGTGCAGAACTTTCAGTGCTAAAACTTGGATAGTTCTGTGCAAACTGGGGCAGCCAGCTATCTTGCTTTGGAAGCTAGAAAAGTAGAATGGTTGAGGGAAAGGGGGAAGTTGGACAGTTAAGAAAATTGTGAAACGGAAGAGTTTAAGCAAGGTGAGCCAGGTTTGGCACATTGAGTATTACTAAACAGTGAGGATAATAATGGTGAATAATTACACATAAGTGGCTCTCTCCAAATAACTGAAATTTGTTGCCTCTAGGGCATTCATTGTTTTGGAGGAATGATGTTCTAAAATATTATAAAATTCTCTGTCTTATTCAAAGGATGATATGTATCTTTTAACATTTCCTTATGTGACTCAAGCTAACATGTACAACACTTGCTGGTGGGATGTGCTTTTAAGTTTGTCTTATTTATCATCAAACATCAATGACTATTTTGTCCACTGCCAGAGGTGCCCTAGTACTTTTAGGTTTTTGCTTCTGATCGGCTCTGTCAACGAAATTAGATCAGTCCATTATGGTATAAATTATTGTATCATATATGATATAATATCACAGCATGTGTAAGCCATATGAATATCATATCATATATAATATAGATTATCAGATAGGATTGTCAGATAATCCTGTATGGTTAATATCCAAATAACAGGCAGGTCAGAATATCCAGATGAGACACAAAAGACCTGGTTTAAATGTAAGAGTTTTATGTTCACTGTACTCGTTTTCAGGGATCTTTTTCATTTCAGGTTTGAGATTATATTCTGAGACATTGAGGCTGTTAAAGGGTTTGAGTTCTAGAAAACTTTATTCATTTCAACCAAATATTTGGTGAAGAATTATTATATGGTGCTGGGCACTCAAGTTTTCTATATGGATTTTGTCTTTAATAGATGATGGTTTGGGAAATGGGGCATATGGTGGTATATTTATTTTGTCTTAAAACTAAGAAAAATAACTGAGAGTTGGGTATAAAAAATTCATATACAATACCAACTACCAATTATTGAGTAGGACCTATTAGGCACTGTGCAGGTATATAGTTCTTGCCCTCTACATATGGAAATATTCATTTGGTAGATTAAATATTTTTTCAGAGATCTCGCCATGGATTTAAATATTTTTACAACTCTTTATTGGAAATCATTTTCAGAGCAGATCATTTGAGTATATTAATTTTGGCAAATTTTTGTAACTTTTGGTTAAATTTTACTTTCAGAACATCCAGAATCAATAAAAATCACAGTTAAGTGACAAAGATGGGTAATTAAGATTGCAAATATCATGTTGTACAAAACAACCAATGTGTGACTATAAAGAACATGTAATGAGATGGTTTGGTTGTTTAATTGTTATGGTTCTGATTTGGCTCAGAATGACTCAGGAGGTGTTACAAAATGTACTATACCAAGAAGGTAGAGTTGGATTAAGTAAGCAACCTTCTGATACGATGACTTTGAAGGAAATTTCATATGTCTTTAAATAAACTTACTTGGCTTAAAATAAGTTCTCTTTCTTCTCTTTCTCTCCCCTCTCTGTCTTCTAATTCATGATGGTAAACTTCTACTTTGGCTTTTGATTTTTACCCTTGAATTCTACATAAGTATTACCTGGAAACATTTACGATACTATCTAAGTTTGGTGAGACAAACATATTTTCTCAACCTCATAATATCTTAAAATTAGAATATGTAAAACCTTTAAAATTTAATATTAATACTATATACCATTGCCTACTTCTCCTAGCCTCCCTCCAGCTATTTCTTTTGAACCAATTTGCCATATGTCATTGAAAACAATATTAAAATCAACTATTTGTAAGCACACATTTTCATAGATATATAGAGTCATATTCTGAACACATTACTATGAAATCACTTTTTTAACTTTTACAATGGAAATTTTATAGGTCAATCATTCCTTTCAAGGAATAATTAAATATTTGTGTGTATTTAGTTTGATTTTGATAGACTATGCTTTGAAGCAACAAACATGCCACCCGCACAAGCTCCTACTGGTACAAAAGTTTTGGAATTGCGAGGCAAAAATGTTATGACAATTCTTTGTTTATGGAAATCTAAGAAAATTACACATAGAGCCTCAAGTGCCAGAGACATTTCAAAAATAACATGCATGTTCTCCTTCCTTCCTTCTTTCTTTCCTTCCTTCCATCTTTCCTTCTTTCCTCCCTGCCTTCCTTCCTTCCTTCTTTCTCTCCCTACCTCCCTTTCTTCCTCTTTCCTTCCTTCCACACAGTTTTAAGTCTCTGTTTTGTGCTTGACACTGTATTTGTTGCTATTATTAGTACTCAGAAGTAACTCTTAATAAAATTACAATATAACTATTTGATCTTAAAGAATGGCTACTTAATTTAATGTTCAACCTAAAATCTGGAAGTGTTTATTCTTAAATTTTAAGATG